TCTTTCCCTCTTGCTCTCTCTCCCTGCCTCCCTTCCTCTCTCTCTCTCATTTAAGAAAAAAATAAATAAATTTAAAAATCCACATTCAGTTAAATTATTCAAAGTATTATTAGAGCTATCTATAAGTTAATGCTCAAGTATTGGGAAAGTTAGTCTGAAATAAACTTCTAGGTATCTAGGTAGACTATTTCAAAGGACTGTATTAATTCATTCTTTACAATTCAGGTCCACTGAAATATCTAACGGGACGTAAAGTGGCTAAACCAAGACTATGAGTATGCTGAATATACTAGTATTCCCATTCTTGTATGATCTTTGAATTTTCATTTCTATAGAAAAGAAAAACAAATTCTTTGCTACGATTCCACTGAATATACAATCACAAACATTGCTGCTCTGATCTGACCTCCAAACACGGGGTCTACCATCCACAACAGTAGCACCCCCATCAAACAGAGAGAGGAGCACAGAGCGTGCCTGCTTGCATGTCTCGTGCAGAAGACAATCTTTTCTTTTTTTGAGAGAGAGATTTTTGCTATAGGGTACATGTGCTCTCCAGAGAGAGAGAGAGACAGAGGGGCAGAAAACAAGAAATCACCCCCCAGGGGGGATGGCCATGCCACAATCCCTTCTTCTCCATTCTCCTCAGGATTTTGGACGTGCAAGCACATGCCGTGGTTGGCTATGTGGGAGTTCAGTGACATAACCATTATGCCATCTGCTGGTCCCCAGAAGGTAATCTTGGTTGGTGTACTCTCTTTTTTATTTTTAATTTGCCAGAGGAAGTGTGCACTTGCTGGAAGGAGAGAGACAGAGGGAAAGCAAGAAAGAACATTCCCCCCATGGGGGTTAGTCATGCCCCAATCCCTTCTTTTTCATTTCTTCTTTCAGCAGGTGGCATGGCAGTTAAGGCACTGGACTCCCACATGTACGACCATGGTTTGAGTCCCAGACCTGGTGGCTTGCTTTTTCACTTTGTCTGTCTGAGCATATGTGCCCTATAGCAAACTTAAAAATAATAATAATATGAGACCAGCAGTTGGCATAATGGCTATGTCACTGGACTCCCTTGTAGTTGACCATGGTTTGAGTCCTAGACCCAGTGACTTAAACTCACGCCAGATACATGTGTGTGTGTGTGTGCCCAAGATCCTGAGAGGAGAATGAAGAAGAGATTGTGGTGTGGCCATCCCCCCTCAAGAGTATTTCTCGCTTTCTGTCTCTCTGTCTCTCTGTCGAGAACATGTACCCTATAGCAAAAACCTCTCCATAAAAAATAATAAAAATAATAATAAAAGGGCTGGCAGGTTTGCGTGGTGGTTAAAGGCGCTGGACTCCTACATGGCTGACCGCAGTTCAAGTCCCGGACCTGGTGGCTTGCTTTCTCACTTTCCCTTTCTCTCTGTCTTCCTCTCTCTCTCTCTCTCTCTCTCTGTCCCTCTGGTCAAATTAAAATAAATGAATAATAAATAAAGTTAAATAAAATAATTCTTTAAAAATAGTAACAATAATAGATAAAACAAAATTTTTTTTTTCTTTTAAAGAAAGGATGCTCCTAGGCTAGTCTATTATCACAGTGGTTAGGGGAGTCAGCTCCTACATGGTTGACCACAGTTCAAATCCCAGCCCCAGCAGCTTGAAAAACATGCTAGGTGTGTCTTAGCAGATACCTAAAGTCCTGACTGGATGGAGAAATGGAGGAAGAAGGAGTGTTGCATGACCAGGCCCCATTGGGCGGCTTCCTCCCTTCTGTTTCTTGCTGTCACTCTCTCTCTCCCCGACCCCTTGACCTCTCGCAAGCACACATGCCCTCCGGCAATTAAAAAAAAAAAGAATCTTTCTTAAAAAAAAAAAAAAATCCCACATAGAAAATTCCTGGTTCAGGGACCAGCAGGTGGCATGGACACTCCCACATGGCCGACCATGGTTCAAGTCCCCGATCTGGTGGCTTACTTTCTCACTCACCCTCTTTCTCTTTCTCTCTCTGTGTCTCTCTCTGGTCAAATTAAAATAAATGAATAAATAAAATTAAATAAATAACTATTTTTTAAAAAGAAGGAAGTAAGTTCCTGGTTCAAATCCAGAGACCTCTCTGAGTACGCCATGCACATGCTTGTTCAGGATCCAGAGCTGAGACTGGGGTGAATCTAGTATGAAAACCCTGTGAGGGGGATGCGTGCATGTGTGTGTGTGTGTCTATCTGTATGCCTGTCTCTCTTCAGAATAAATAATTAAACTTTAAAAAGAACCTGACATGTTAAAAAAAAAAAAAAGGGCCATCCCCCCTGGGGGGAGATTTCTCACTTTCTGTCTCTATGTCTCTCTCTGCCTGTCTGGCGAGCACACGCGCCCTATAGAGAAAACCTCTCAAAAATAAAAAAAAAGGGAACCAGCAGTTAGCGTAATGGCTATGTTGCTGGACTCCCATGTAGTCGACCGAGGTTCGCGTCCCTGATCCGGTGGCTTAAAACTCACGCCGGGCGCGTGTGCGTGCGTGCCCAAGATCCCGGGAGGAGAGTGGAGGAGAAGGGATTGCGGCGTGACCATCCCCCCTGGGGGGTGATTTCTCGCTTTCTGTCTCTATGTCTCTCTCTGTCTGTCTGGCGAGCGCACACGTCCTATAGAAAAAAAAAGGGGGTGCCCTTCCCCACATCCCATGTGTCCAACACTTTATAAACGAGACACCAGGGACTCCCATGCTCCTTCCCATCACCGGACAGCCCAGACCCTCACCCCTTACCACCCACACGACTTTCAAAGCCCAGGTCCTCCCACACGAACCTCTTCGGGACATCAATGTTCCTGGAGACGGGCCTGTAGGCTGGTGCCTGGGCTCCATGTTCAGGGGGTGGCACGTGGGGGCTGGGGCCCTGCAGCTCCGCCAGCCACACTTCTTCCGCTCTGCAGCAGATCTGTAACTTCTGGTCCAACAGCCAGACAGTCACCTTATCCTCTGCCCAGCTGTGCTGCTCCACCAGCCCTGAGCACTCATGACCCCCGTACCACACGCACACCTGGGGGAGGGGAGAAAAGCCACCGCCAGTGGTCAGCAATCGCTCGGTCTCACCTCCATGTTCTCATCGGCCCCGTCTGGGAGCCAGGACCTGCCTGGTACAGCCAATGTTCTCTGACTCACACATCTTTAATGCAAGGAAATGTTCCCAGGCACCGGCTTCCTAACTGAGCACCTAGACTAGCCACATCGGGCCAACTTCCTCCTTATAAACTCTCTAGGCTGGAGGATAGTGGACACGTCAGTTTTAGGGACTTTCTCTGAACCTAGAACCTGCGTCCGTCCTCCTACCGGTCTGGCCTGCCTTGCCTCTGTCCTGCACACCTGCTGGTGCCCAGTTATTTCCTTGAGCTGCTCACAGACTGTACTTTCCTTCAGAGAGCTCTGCATCTACCTGGGACCAGCTGGTCAGGTTGGGGATGCAGGCTCCTTGCCTCTGTCCTGCACACCTGCTGGTGCCCAGTTATTTCCTTGAGCTGCTCACAGACTGTACTTTCCCTTCAGTGAGCTCTGCATCTTCCTGGGACCAGCTGGCCAGGTTGGGGAGGCAGGCTGGCTGTCCCCAAGGGCCGCCTGGAGGTTGGCAGGTGGTTCACATCACCAGAAGAGAGGACCACCAACCTCTCGGGGAGACAGGAAGCAGTCTCTCCCCTGTCCAGAGCCCTTAAGAAGGCAATGAAAGAGCCCCGCGCTGGCTCTAGTGATGGTTTCAGACCCAGGATGGCTGGGTCCTGCCATCGGGGAGAGGGCACAGGAAAAGGAAAGCTGAATTGAATTCTGACTAAACACACTCCTTTGTCTCTTGAAACCATCTGATGGCATTTCAAAGACACGATCTTCTCTGACTCATAAACCCGAGGTCTGCCCTTTGGCAAAGTTGCAGACTAAAGCAGATTTAAGAGGAACTGAGCCAAAACCATGCTTTAAACCAAGATTTTGAAAATCCCAGAACGTCTTGCCACCTTCGTCTCCAGACGATGCCGTCATGGAGAACTGAGCCTGCTAATGACCGCACATCCTAGAGCTCACACGGCAAGAAGGGAAAGTCTGAGCTCAGACTGGTGGCCCATGCTGCCAGCCTGTCATCTGGACACCCCAGCCTGCCAGCCCAAGCCCGGGGAGGCCTGACACCTGTCTCTGCAATCAACTTACCTTCTGCCCAGGCTGAAAGGCCAACTGCTGGAGGCCTGAGGTGCTGGGAGCCTTGAGGACTTCCTTGGGCCGCTCCTGGCAGGAAGTGTCCATAGAGGCAAGGAAGGGAGGAGGAGCAACCCCCTCTAGCAGGTCCACCTGCGGCTCTAAGGGCGTGGTGGCCCCTGATGGCCCATCTGAAGCACTGGGTCCCAAGACCCGAGCTCCCAGGAGAGACCGCTTCCCAAGGCGCCGTGACAACACACCAGCCATGCTGCTGCCTCTCCTGGGGAAACAAAGGGGACACTGAGTCCTTTATCCATCATCTGCAGGAATCAGGAGGCTTTTCACACAGAGCCTCCACAGAGCAGGAGCCAATGAGTGCTCGTTAAAATGAGTAGAACAGGCCCAGCCTGGTAGCGCAGTCAGTGGCAAACTGAGCTGCAGTGCTGGGAGGCCAAGAGCTACTGCAGCAGGTTCAGATCCCTGTGCTGGCCTGAAAATACACCAAGTGTGTGGTATGCACATGCCCAAGACCCTGACAGGCTGAAAGGGGACTGCAGCAGAACAACAACCTATCGAGGGTGCCTCCCTCCCTCTCTCTCTCTCTCTAGTACATATGCTATCATAAATAAAATCAACTTTAAAAAAAAAAGAAGAATGAAACAGAACCAGGTGGTGGGACAGCAGTTACACAACTGGACTCACAAGGGAACGGTCCTGGGCTCGCACCCCAGGAGCTCCCAGGACATGCTGGGAGCATCACCAGTGCCTGTGATCTTGTGGCTCATGGAGGCTGAGGATGGATCATGTCGCAGGAGGGTGTGCCTCTGTGTGTGTGTGTGTGTGTGTGTGTGTGTGTGTGTGTGTGTGTGTGTTTCCCTCCTTCTCTCTGTGTCTTTCTCTCATGGAAGAAGCAAACTTTCATAAAAATAAAAATCTGTCTAAAAAGAATGAAATACTTGGGCCCAGGAGGTGGTGTGGTGGTTAAGGCTCTGGACTCCCAGGTGGCCAACCACAATTCAAGTTCCAGACCCAGAGGCTTAAAACTCAAGCCAGGCGTGCATGCACGTGTGCCCAAAATCCCAAGAGAAGAATGGAGGAGAGAGGATTATGGCTTGACCATTCCCCCTGGGAGAGTGATCTCTCGCTTTCAGTCTCTCTCTGTCTCTCTGGCAAGCACACATGTTATATGACAAAAATCTCTCGGAAATTTTTTTTGAAAAGAAATACTTTAACTTTTGTCATTTTTTTTCTTATATAAAATGAGTACCTGTTCTGGTGAGACATTTAGAAAATACTGAGAAACACAAAGAAAAACAAATCATTCACAAACCTTCCCCCAGAGATGCCCGCTTTTCCCATGTTAACGGTCCACACTTTCTTCTACACGTGTTTACGTACTTCCATTTCTACAAAGATGGGATCACTGTTTGGGAAGTTAGATTTTCACTTACTATATTGTGCAAGTTTTACTGTCATTAAATGTCTTTCCAAAGCCAGCCCCATGAAAAGCACAGTGATTAAGTGCAATGCACTGGGACCCAGATACA